CCATTTTTCTTCTCACCTTGACACAGAGAGTACTCCATCTTTCTGTGTTATACCTCTGAGGATGCCAGTCACAGCTGCTGGCGGAACGTCAGGTCCTACAATGCCAAGACCACGGCCACGCAGCCCGGAAAATCTACAACTAATGAACTCTGGCTGTGAAAGCCTTTGACAACAACCCCACAAAAGCTACAGCAAGTCAGCCCAAGACCCAGTGATACCCAAAGAGCTTTACGCTAGGAATGTCTCAAGAATTTCTAATTTGTCCAGCAATTTCTCAAATTATCATTCCAATAACCAAAATGAGAGTGACTTTTCCAATCCTCTAAATATCTGGTACCCTATCTTAGATAAAATGGACATTGACACCTTTGATTGGGAAACTATATCTAAAGCCAAATACAAGTTACTGGTATTTGGTTAGTCTAGATTTCCTAAGCGAGACTTCTTTTTTTATATATATATATATACTTTAAAAAATGCCTAATTTAATCCTGGTCTTCTCCAACAAGAGCAAAATCCAAATGAACAAAATTGGGATTTCTCCACAAAACTCCCTAGCTGCTTTTACTTAACGTTAGGTATCATAAGAAAATAAATTCAGGTGGGTAGCCATGTTGCTCTGAAGTTTGAGTCCAGCGGCACCTTTAAAACCAGCAAAGTTTTATTCAAGTTATACGTTTTCGTGTGCACACTCACTTCTTCAGATACAGTGAAACAGAATTTCCTCAACCATTGCATATAGGAAGGGGGGGGTTAGTTGACAGGAACGGCCAATTAGAGACAAGACAGAGACAGAAACAAAAATGGAAATTACCAGTCCATATTTATAGAGAGGGTGAGCAGTAAATTATCCTACAGCATAATAAAGATGTTTAACAGATTCAAGGATCAAGCAGGAATAATAAACTTAGTTTATGTGGTTTCCATTTGCTTGGGTTTAATTATGGGGGGGGAACAGTGTAAAAATTGGGATATACAGTGTAAAAATTGGGATTATAGCCCTCCCCCCCCTGCACAGCAGGGCTCAGGGCGGGTAAACAACACAATTAATTACTCTCAGCATTCCACAATTAAGGATACATCAAGCTTTCAACAAAGTTCCCTTCATCTCTATGACTCTCGAAAACGTCTACCTCCAAAATCCTGTTGGTCTCCAAACAGCTACTAGACTCAGCTCTAGCTACTAGACCAACACAGCTACCCCTCTGAAACTACACCAGTTGGACAACAACTTCACAGAATAATCAGACAATCAAAGCTACTTTGTTCCTCAGCCTGGAAAAGCTTACAACATTGTAAAGCAACCAATGGGATTATTGGGCCATCTAGCCTAGAGTCCTGTTTTTCAACAGCAGCCAATCCAATGCCTGAGAAAATCCCATAAACATAGCAATAGTTAACTACTACTGCCAATTCTTAATATCTGGGGATATCCAGAAGCCAGATTTGCATTTGAATACTGTCTGCATGTGGACACATGAACCTGCCTTATACTGAATCAGTCCACCAAAGTCAGTGTTCTCAACTAAGACCTTCAGTGGCTCTCCAGGTCTTTCACATCACCTCCTACCTGATCCTTTTTACTGCAGATGCCAGAGATTGAGCCTGGGACCTTCTGCGTGCCAAGATAACACAGGCCCGTAGACAGGATTTTGTGGCTTGTGGGCAAATTTTTTTCTGGTGGGGCTAAAGTTCTCAGTGCAGAAAGAAAAGCCATTTAGCCAATAGAAAGCTGTGACCAGGTAAATTGCAAGGGTCAACCACTTTAGATGACAGTTCTCAGCTGCTATAAATTAATCACTTCTGCCAGCCTAAGCAACAGTTCTGATAACAAGCCAGCAGGTGGGGATGATGACTTCTACAGTCAAGGAAGCTAACACTTAGGCAGAAAAACAGTCAAGGAAGCTAACACTTAGGCAGAAAAACTCTCTTAAAGGAGACCAGTTTCTTGACACAGAGTTAGAAGGGATCCTAGAGGTCACCTACTCCAACCCCGTTGCTCAGAGTGGGCATCAGTCAATTACAGCACCCCACTCTGCTTAAAGGAGCACACACCTTTTAAAAAAAGGTTTTAAAATTCACGACCTTGGAATCGTTGATCAGTATAGCTAGAGTAACACAACGAGGCCTAATCTCTTAAAATCTATAAGGTTTTAGCTTCACTAGATAGTGATACAGGCCTAACTTATCAAACTTTATGGCATAAAGAATGCAACATTAGGTTGACAACAGAAGAGTGGCACAAAATATGGTCCTCTCCGCCATTTCGTTCTAAAATCACCTCGCTGAAGCTCCAATCATTTAAAATTATGGCACATTGGTACCTCACCCCATGCAAACTGGCACAAATGTGCTGGGTAGAATGTCTGAAAATGCTCCCATTCTGGGAAGCAGTGTTGATCAAATAATTTCACAAGATAGAAATCCTACCCATACCAGAACACCTGTTTTTGAGCAGATGGGCAGA